GCGTTCGCGTTCGTCGACCGTCTACTAACCCAAAGACCCACGACAATTGAAACACGAACACACAGCCAGAATGTTTGTTTGATAAGCTCCCTGAAGGAAATGTGGGGTGTTGTATCGCCTTTGTCTACTATTGTGGCGACATGTCTCCATATTTTCTACAACTTGTCTACATATCATGTAATAAGAAGAAGCATTTGTTATGTTAACAACCAACTGAGCATGGTTATGCTTCTTCTTTTTTTCTTTAATTATAAATATGTTGGCGGCAATAGACAGATATTTTATTAAAAACGCGAGTTTAAAGTTATTAATGGTAATAATTAAATTAATTAATTAATTGGTGAAAAAATTTTTGAGCAAAAGAAATTATAAAAAATTTACAAGTGACATATGTGACCTTTTGTCTATATATACAAACTATTGACTTACTACTGACCGTGTCCACATATGCGACGCTGTGTCTATATCTAAAAACTACTGACTTACTACTGACCAAGTCACTAGTTCATTTCCAATGACAAGCACATGTTAAATGTCAATAGTAAAATGCATTGTGTTGGGTATAGTCGGTCAACAGTATTGGTGACGATGTCAATAGTAAGTCAATACTGATTTACTGTAGACATTTCCTACAGGGCTTGGTGGTTAGGGTGGAAGTGAGGGTTGGCAGGGGTAGGAACAAAGTGTTGGCAATTTTTGTATATTGGCAATAATTATCCACACATCACTGTTTGTTACTCATACAAAAACAATTTAACAACAATTGTATATTTTTTTAAATATTTTTTTTTTTTTTGCAAAAACAATTTTTTTTTAAATAAATATGAATGTGAAATTTTCTATAACAAAATTTTTCTCATTTCAATTTTTCAGACGACAGTTCAAGGCGCAGTATTAAAGCTAACGGACGACGCAAAGAAATAAAACATACAAATATTTTTTTCTTTAAGAAAAAAAAAAAATACAACCAACCAAGGCAAAATTTTAAACAAGTTCTTCAAGAGCAACAGGGGAGGCAAAAAAAATCTAAAGTTTAATTCTGTGAAGGAAATATTGCTGTAAAAAAAGAAGAGGTGCGTGTGTGATTCCAGACACGTAGATAGCAAGCAAGAATAACTTTGCACATAAAAAAGCAACAACAAAGAGGCTGAGGTAGGTGTAAATAATACCTGTAGTCTTTATTATTAACACACTTTGCCCATAAAACAAAACCAATCATACTACACGTTAACAAAAACATTACACACTCTTGCATGCATGCCATACCATACACAAGCACAAACACCTTCATTAAAACATGAACAAACAAACGAACACACAAAACTTGTGAATGCAAGTCACCTTTACGTACTTACACTACACCCCCCCACCACCGACACCACCGCCATTACCACCCATTACACCAACTATGCTTACTAAACAAACAACAACAACAGTAAATATACGAAAGGCCACGACGACAATATCCAAGAGACGAGCCCCGTTTTGTTTTCATTTCATTAGCCTCCTTTTTCTCAGAGGCACACCACAACACTCATCATCAGCCATAATGATGGGGCACAGAAGGAGAGAGAGAGGTGAGGAAGGGAGGGGGGAAGATTGCAACATACACACCCCCCAAAAACCAAAAAAAAAAAGAACACACACACAAAAAACCCAACAAGTATCACCACATTCCTCCAGCAAGACATGCACATTTTATTTTGCTCTCGAGAGCAAACAACAGCAACTCTCCCCTCCTCTCCCCGCAATTCAATTCATAAATAGTATATTCCAACCAAGAAATAGCAACAACAACAAAACTGTTATACTACTAGTCATACGATTTGTAATATATTTTTTTTCCATTTTCTTTTATATATATTTTATTTTTGCCCATATCTTACGAGAATTTGTAATAAAAGTGGGCAACTTACACGCACACACACAGTTGCATACATATATATTTCCATATTTGTTACTTTGGAACGGACACAGATAATTTTCCATTAAAAGCAAGCAGCAAAGCAAAATGTAATGTGTAAAGAAAAATTCCAATTGGAATCAACCAATGTAAATAATCAACTATAACAGGAGGTGGTTCTCATTAAAAAAAGAGAATGTCGTTATGCACTATTGTGCTCTTAAGAGAGTGCCATGTAAAGAGACTTTGCCAGGGAATTTAATTATTATTACAACGGAAATAAGTTATTTTTAGTGGGGAACATTAAAAAATAACAATAATAATACAATTTTATAGGTTAATGGATTCCTCTACATGTTCTTAATAGAATTTTGTTGATTATTTCCCAAAGATAGTATAAAATATGGACACAATTACAAATTTCAAAAATAGAAATGAAAAGAAATCATTTGAATTTTTTTGGTATAAAAAATTAAAAGGTACGAGGTACCCTCATATAGGATTTAGCCTAAAAAGTGGGCCAATATTGAAAATTTTTGGTAGGGAGATTTATTACCCAATGAGAACACAAAATGTCAAATTACAGCCAAATCGGTTGAAATTTTTTCAAAAATAACGAAATTTTGGAGGTATAGGGTATACCAAACAAATTATACCGAAGTTGAAAAATGTTGGTGGGAAAATATTCTACCTAATGAGAACCTAAAATATTAAATTACAGACAAAACGGTCGAAAGGATGCCCCAAAATTACGAAATTTGGGAGGTACCCAAGATGCCTTAAATCCGAAATTTGGGAGTTTTCCATATATATGAGGGCCAGCATAAAAATTGGACGAAATTAAAAAAAAAATGAAGGGGTGATTTGTAAGTTAATGAAAATCCAAAATGCCAAATTCCAACCAATTTGGTTAAAAAAAAAAAAAACAATTTGACAAACTTAAATACCAAAATTTGGGAGGAACTACCCAAATACTAAATTACAAATTATATTATTATTATTTTTAAATTGAAATCTGCTTCATATGTTTGTAAAATGTATACAAAAATGTTAAAATTTAATTAACCACGATCTTTATTTATTTTTTTTTTTGCAAAAAAAAAATATATATATTAAAAATAAAATAAAAATTTTCTCGAAATGGTTAATGGTTTTTTTGAAATTTCCCCAACATTTTATAATTGTTTTATTAACAACTATTAATTTTCGAAATTCTTGACGTTCCCATTAAACTTATGTATTTAGAATCTAAAATAACTGATAATTTTATCTAAATTATAGGTCAATTTATCAGTTATTTTTCAATAAATGAAAATAAAAATTATCCAAAATTGTGAATTTCAAAATGTTCCCTAATTTATTAAAAATGTATAAAAATGCGCCTTTTGGCCTTCAAAATTTATAGTTTAAATTTTATTACTAATATTCCATTAGCGGAACTCTTTAACGTCCCAAATTCTCTTTACTCATATTACAGTGTAATAATTACACAAACAACACGCAGACGTTTGTTTACATTCTCTTGTAACAGAGCTAACATATTCCAATGCTCTGTTTTGACTCTCTGTTAAGCAAACTCTCTTCATGTAAAACCTCCCCATGTGTGTTTTGGGGGCATACACGACACACATCACATAGCAAAAAAAGCCCCCCTTCACACACAACCAAAAAAACACTCATTCACTTACACTAACACACATACACACATTTTGTACATATCCAATAACAACAACAATATCATCCCCACCAAACTACCATACTACATACAACAATAAGACAACTTTCCAGTCAGCAGTATTCGTTTTACTAATAAATTGTCAATTTTGACCTTCAAGGTTCCTTCAAACGTACGCGTACCGTACAACAACGAACGAACGCCACAGCACAGCACAGCCAGCACCAACAAACAAGCAAGCAAGTCACATCAAGTCATACTGGAACTCTGAAGCAGAGCAGACACAAAGTGTAAATCAAGCGGTCGACAACAAGACACGGCAAACTGACTGTGTAATAGGAAAAAAAAAACAGCAAAGTCAAATAAGACAAAACAAGTGGAGAACAAACTTAACAAGAAAAAAAAAACAAAACCAATAACAATTCCAACACAAGACGACGAATTTTATTTTGGAGAAGAAAAAAAAACATAAAAATAAACGACAAAATATTAAGAAGCAGCAAACTAACAACAAATTTTAAATTAATATAATTTGTTGTTATTATTAAGAAAAAATCATAGTTTTGTGTGTGCGAGAGAGAAGAGAAATCAACGTGTGAGACGAAAAGTGTCAGTGCAAACTACTCTACTACCATCACTAATACCAATACGGACAGCTGGCTGTTTTTATTTAATTTTTGGTGGGGTCGACGACGTTTGCCATCACATCAAAGCACATACACGAGAATATAAAAATTTTTAATAAAAATATTTTTTATGGAATTGATTCCGCTGTGAGCATTTAAACGGAACGGTTGTGTCTCGTGTTGATATAAAGAATTGTTTAGAAGCGCAAAAATTCATAGAAGAAGTAAAAATAAAATAAAAGCAACGAAAAGAAAACTAAACTGTCAAGAAGAAGAAGAAGATAAACTGAAGAATACAAAGTTTATTTTGGTGGCGTAAAAATTTGTAAAACCAAAAGCAAAAAATTTAGCAAAACAAAAAACCAACAACCACAGAAAAAATTTCAAGAGCAAAATATCTGAAAAATAAAAACAAAACCAACAACAAAAATGGATAAAGAATTAAATGTGGCCATGCAAAATGCATCTATAAATAATGATTGTTTGAAAGCAACAACAACAACAGCAAATGGCTGCTGCAGTAAACCGAACACAGAATCATCCGCCGCTACCTCATCAGCAACAACAACAAACACAACACTTGGCGCCCGCTGCAGTACCCTGCCCAATGGCACCATTGCCACCACAAAAACAAACGGCTGTTGTTGTAACTGTGCGGCAACAACAAAAACATCAACATCGACCGCTGCCACCAACACTGACCGCGACGAAACAGACAGATCGGCCACATTCACCATTGGCGGCGAAGGCATTGGTGCAACATCGGCGCTGGGCAACAAAACTACAAATACGCCGACGACCACAACAGCACCTTATGCCAATGCTAGTGTCGCGGAAAAACGCAAAATGGTGCACGAGTTATGTCAGCAATTGATACTCACGGATGAACAAATCGACGAGCTTACCTATCGTATCCTGCACGAAGTGAAGCGCGGTCTGGCCAAGGATACCCATGCCAAGGCAAATGTCAAGTGTTTCGTAACCTACGTCCAGGATCTGCCCAATGGCAATGAACGTGGCAAGTTCTTGGCCCTCGATTTGGGCGGTACAAATTTCCGTGTCCTGTTGATCCATCTCAAGGAGGATCATGATTTCCAAATGGAATCGCGCATCTATGCCATACCCCAGCACATTATGTTGGGTTCGGGTACCCAGCTATTTGATCACATTGCCGAGTGTTTGGCCAATTTTATGGTGGAGCACAACGTGAAGAGTGAACGTTTGCCCTTGGGTTTTACCTTCTCGTTCCCATTGACCCAGTTGGGTTTGACCAAAGGCCTGTTGGTGACATGGACCAAGGGTTTCAATTGTGCCGGTGTCGTCAATGAAGATGTTGTCCAGCTGCTGAAAGATGCCATTGCCCGCCGCGGAGATGTCCAAATCGATGTGTGTGCCATATTGAATGATACCACAGGTACCCTAATGTCCTGTGCCTGGAAGAATCACAATTGTAAAATTGGCCTCATTGTGGGCACTGGTTCGAATGCCTGCTATGTGGAACGTGTCGAGGAGGCGGAGATGTTCGATGGAGCCAGCAACGGCAAACCCCATGTCCTGATCAACACTGAGTGGGGTGCCTTCGGCGATAATGGTGCCTTGGATTTTGTACGCACCGAATTCGATGAGGATGTGGATCGTCATTCCATTAATCCCGGCAAACAGGTATTCGAGAAAATGATTTCCGGCATGTACATGGGTGAACTGGTGCGCCTGGCCATCGTGAAAATGGTCAATGCTGGTGTCCTCTTCAAGGGCCAGGATTCCGATGTCCTAATGACACGTGGCCAATTCTTTACCAAATATGTTTCCGAAATTGAGGCTGATGAACCCGGCACCTATACCAATTGCCGTCTGGTCTTGGAGGAATTGGGTCTGACCGAAGCCACCGATGAAGACTGTGCCAATGTACGCTATATCTGTGAATGTGTGTCACGACGAGCCGCCCATTTGGTGTCGAGTGGTATTGCCTGTTTGATCAATAAAATGAACGAGCCGCATGTAACGGTGGGTGTCGATGGCAGTGTATATCGTTTCCATCCCAAATTCCATACCCTGATGGTGGAGAAAATTTCACAACTCGTCAAGCCTGGTATTACATTTGATTTGATGCTGTCGGAAGATGGTTCGGGTCGTGGTGCTGCTCTTGTAGCAGCGGTGGCATGTCGTGAAGATAATTTACCCAAAAAGGATAAGAAATAAAGTGGGCGTGATGATTGAAGTTTAAGTTAAAAACATTTTTTTAGAAACAACAACTATAACAACAAAAAAGGTATTACAACAACAATTTTTTGTGAGTTAAAAAAATTAAAAACAAAAAACAATAGCCAAAAAAAAAAATAAACAGGAAGAAAAAAACGCGATAAACACAAAGAGAAGAATGCGCTTTTAGATGTTGAAATTGCAACAACAACACAAAAAGGAAGTTAAAGTAAAAAGATTGTTTTGAAAAAAAATCGAAATACGAGAGTTCAGGGTCCGTCAATGAAAAACCAAAAAAAAAGACATTTTCAATGGACTTTAGGAACCCAAAGAAAAAGTGAGGTTATGAAGAAAATTTTTGAAAAATTATTGGAAAAAAGTTCCGAAAATTTGAACCCCACTTTAAAACCTTGGTTTATTGAAAATATCATTTGGAAAAAATCGAAAAATATATATATTTTTTCAAAATAGAAACGAAATAATAAACATTAATAAAAAAATACAGTACCTGATGAAAAAAAGAATAATGCAATAACAACTAAATGCTAAACTTAAAAAAAATTTTCCAACTCTCTTTAAAAACATTGAATTAAGAAAAAAAAACCAAACCGTTCCTGTTTCTAAACAAAACGTTTTTTGGACTCTCCTTACTTCCTTAAAATCGAAAAAAGAAAATATGCACAAAAAGCAAATTCCAAAATTGGTACTTAAAAAAAAAATACGAAAAACAAAGCTCAAAAAAGACATTTTTTCCAAATTCGAAGCCAGCCCGCCCTCCCCCTCCTTTCAAACGAGAAGAGCGCAAAACTATTTAGTAGATGATTTTTCTTTTTAGTTGTTTTTTTATTTAAAAAAATTGTTTTTTGTTTTTATTTTTTATCCAAAGTTTTTTTTTTGAAGAAGAAAAAATATCTTTTTTTAATTTTATTTAAAAATTGTTTATTTTTAAAATTTTTTTTTAATTATATAGTTATATAGTAGTAGTCTCTTAAGTTTATATAGTAGGCATATTTAGTTTTAATTTATTTTGTTAACTAATGTTTATTATTTTTTTATTAATTTAGAACTTACAAAAAAAAAAAAAGAAACTCAAATTTGGCTTTAAAACGATTTTATTGAATACTACTAAGAAGAAGAAGAAAATACAACAAATTATTATTAAAAAAAAATAATTATTATTATTTTTGTTTTTAGATATTAAATTGGCCTTAGCACTATTTTCCCCCCACAAAAACAAAACAAAATACAATATATAAAGAAAGATGAAAAAAGTATTGTAATGTAAAAGAAACAACAAATATTTTTTTGTTAATTTTTATTTTATTTAATTTTCAAAAAAAAAAAAAAAATCTTAGAGTTTCTCATAGAAATTTTTGGAAACCCCAACAAATGTGGCCCATAAAAATTGTAATTGAAAAACAAAACAAAAAACGTGTATAAAAAACAAAGAGAATTTTGAACAACATCAAACATTTCAATAAATATATATATAGAAACAAAACCCCCTATTATATATATAGTTAAACGAAAAAACAAATCAAATATATATATATTTAAAGCTTACTCTTATTTTACCAACTAAGTTTAAACAACAAAAACAATATACATATTTAATTAAAGAAACTTATTTAATTAAATAAATAAAAAAATATATTTAAAAAAAATCATGAAAACCGAAATTTCAAGATTTTTATTTAACAACAAAAAACACGAAACAAAAATCTCTTTAGAATTCAAATTCAAATTGTTATTGATGATGATCATGATGTTATGTGAAAAAAATATATATGAAAATCAAAGGACAAAAAATAGCCGCCATTATCCTCCATGCCACTACTCTCTATATGTGTATCCACAAAAACACACAAAAACAACAACACCACACAGAAGAAAATTTAGAGAAAAATTTAATAAAAACCAACCCACTGTGTACAATCGCTGACAACACATTGTAAGAAGAAGAAAATAAAAAACGAAACGTAAAAAAATGAAGCACATTTATATATAAAAACAATAATAATAAAATTATATAAAAAAGAAAAAAAATTAAATGAAAGAAATAAATATTATTTGAAATAAATAAACATAATTTATTTATAACAAAACCAAAACAACTAATAGTTTTCAAATGTTTTCAATTCCTATTGGGTGGGGGCAGAAGGGAAATTTCAAAATATTTCAATGACCAACAGAGGCGTGGATTTTTTAAAGTTGAATTTTGTAAGGACCACTAAGGCGTGGATTTTGTAAAATAGAATTTTGTAAGGACCACTAAGGCGTGGTATTTTTAAGGTAGAATTTTGTAAGGACCACTAAGGCGTGGATTTTTTAAAGTAGGATTTTGTAAGGACCACTAAGGCGAGGATTTTTTAAAGTAGAATTTTGTGAGGACAACTAAGGCGTGGATTTTTTAAAGTAGAATTTGTAAGGACCTCTAAGGCGTGGATTTTTTAAAGTAGAATTTTTCAAGGACCACTAAGGCGTGGATTTTGTAAAATAGAATTTTGTAAGGACCACTAAGGCGTAGATTTTGTAATATAGAATTTTGCAAGGATCACTAAGGCGTGGATTTTGTAAAATAGAATTTTGTAAGGACCACTAAGGCGTGGATTTTGTAAAATAGAATTTTGTAAGGACCACTAAGGCGTGGATTCTTTAAAGTAGAAATTTTCAAGGACCATTCAAGGCGTGGATTTTTTAAAGTAGAATTTTTTTAAGGACCATTCAAGGCGTGGATTTTTTTAAAATAGAATTTTGTAGGGACCACAAGTCTTGGATTTTTTAAAGTAGACTTTTGTAAGGACTACTAAGGCGTGGATTTTTTAAAGTAGAATTTTGTAAGGACCACTAAGGCGTGGATTTTTTAAAGTAGAATTTTGTAAGGACCACTAAGGCGTGGATTTTTTTAAATAGAATTTTGTAAGGACCATTCAAGGCGTGGATTTTTTAAAGTAGAATTTTGTAAGGACCATTCAAGGCGTGGATTTTTTAAAGTAGACTTTTGTAAGGACCACTAAGGCGTGGATTTTTTAAAGTAGAATTTTGTAAGGACCACTAAGGCGTGGATTTTTTAAAGTAGACCACTAAGGCGTGGATTTTTTAAAGTAGAATTTTGTAAGGACCACTAAGGCGTGGATTTTTTAAAGTAGAATTTTGTAAGGACCACTAAGGCGTGGATTTTTTAAAGTAGAATTTTGTAAGGACCACTAAGGCGTGGATTTTTTAAAGTAGAATTTTGTAAGGACCACTAAGGCGTGGATTTTTTGAAAGTAGAATTTTGTAAGGTATAAAAGAGGCGTGGATTTTTTAAAGTAGAATTTTGTAAGGACCACTAAGGCGTGCATTTTTTAAAGTAGAATTTTGTAAGGACCACTAAGGCGTGCATTTTTTAAAGTAGAATTTTGTAAGGATCAACTAAGGCGTGGATTTTTTAAAGTAGAATTTTGTAAGGACCACTAAGGCGTGCATTTTTTAAAGTAGAATTTTGTAAGGACCACTAAGGCGTGCATTTTTTAAAGTAGAATTTTGTAAGGACCACTAAGGCGTGCATTTTTTAAAGTAGAATTTTGTAAGGACCACTAAGGCGTGCATTTTTTAAGGTAGAATTTTGTAAGGTATAAAAGAGGCGTGGATTTTTTAAGAAGTTTTGAAGGAAAGAACTTTTTCAATGAAAAATGAATTTGTTTTTATGTATGTATCAGAGATGGCCTGTCAGAAACAATGACGTAAATGACATAAATTTCCGACGTATTATACATACGTCAAAAACGTCGGAAACCTACCCAAATATTAGGTTTTTGACAAAATAGCTATTTCCATTAATAATTTTGAAATAACGCATGTCTTACCCAAATCCTTATAAAATTTCAAAATGTTCTTCTAGGTCCAGGTCTAGTAAGGAATAGTCAGATATATGTAAAAATAATATATATTCTTGAAAATAATAATATTGAAATAAATGACGTTTACTACTTTACTTTGTAATTGAAGCCAAATTACAATTTAATGGCCAATTTATGTATAATTACAAAGAATCCACCTTATATCATAGCTACTCTAAAACAAATTCTTATAAATATAATATAATAAATATTTTAAACATGTTTAAATCTGCATTACATCATGACTACTCAAATATATCCACTTTTAAACAAGTTATTATAAATAAATGATGTTAACACTAATAAAACATTATGAATGTAATTATGCAGATGCATTTTAAAAAACTTCGTGACATCATGGCTACTCAAATGTAAAATATTAAATAATATAAATTTATAAATACAATATATTGAATACTATTGTGGTTGTTACGTAGCTTTAAAATGATAATCAATTTTTGCAAATCAAGTAAGGCAAAATCATATAAATGATTTAAAATGTATATAAAAAAGTTAGAACAGATTTTCGGAATAGTGTTGAAGAATTTTTTTCCTGAATAAGTTATAGGAATAACAGAATAGCTTTAAATTATTTGGGAGTATATTAAATAAACGAGTTACTCTAACAGTAAACGATTCATTCATATGGGGGCCAATTCTTGGCATGATTAGTTGATTTAATCGAACCGAATGACAAAAAGTAAAGTAATTTGTTAAAAACAGAGGTGATTGTTGTTTAAACACTTTGTAAAATAAAACCAAAACTCTGAAATTGATAAAATCGCGGAAAGAACAACCGAGAAAGCGATATACATAGGGGGAAATATGATCATACCGTTTTCTGGAATATAGATAGCGCATAACTCTGTTAAAAGCTAGCTGCAGCATAGAAATATATCTATCATAAGTGCCCGAATACACCTCTAAACAGTATAGCATATTGGGCATAATAAGAGCATATATTAGTCTCTTCTTTACATGATGTGGTAGAATTAAATCGGAATTGTAAAGTTGCCTAAGGGAAAAGTTTATATGGGCAACTATACTACTGATTTGACACTCAAACGTTAGCTTGTCGTCTAATATAACACCCAAACACTTCATGCTGTGTACAATGTTAATATTT